CGGTCACGGACGCGCGAGTGTCGCTAAGCTATTGTGTATATTTTATTTTGTATGCGCTTATTTATTTTCCACAACGCGACATTCGGGAACCATACATCGCCGACATTCGACATTACGGTGGTCGGCTGTGTGGTATACTCGGCGAAGGACTTCCCGACGAATCTCACTGCGATACTAATCATTATAATAATGACTCAATCCAGAAACACACTATTTACGCGTGGTATACGGCATAGTAGTTGCGATAGACGTGCAGTACAATCATTATTCGGTCAGAGAGCATCGTCCGTCCGTCCGTTTGTTTTTTACGACCATACGGTAAAAAATGTGGATTCTTCGCTACCGTGTATAATATTATAAAATATATAGGCGACAGCCGAGACCAGCATGTTAATTATAACGGACCGCCGTGCCAATCATCTTCTATACCTATCTATCTCTCTCTCTATACACATATAATACAATGTACAAACGCGCAGTAGGTATATTATATTATATGTAGTATGCCTACACATGTACACGAACAACGCGATATTATTATAATATACAATTATTGTTATATTTATATACCTACGACAAGTTGGCAACGAACCTGTAACCGTATGGGAAACTTTCGTTGTGAAACACGAACACGCGCGACGGGTGTGGCGGGAAAGCGAAATATGCACTTGCAATATCATACCCGCAATACCCATATAGACGTATACACACAATACACATAAATAATAATATACATGTATAGAGGGTTTATATTACACAAACACACACACACACACACACACACACACACACACACACACACACACACACACACACTTGTCAACGGAATACGTCAAAAAACGAACGCACACGCACACACTAGCACTTACATTATGTAGTATATATAACGGCATGGCCATTGTTCCGATGTGAACCTCGCGGGGCAATTTCGTCCCGACTGTCACACGTGCGCGCGTATTACATTATATACAGGATGATTCACCAAATTCGAACGACTAGATTCTGAGTTCTTTGAACGTGTATACTGAAAAAATCAGTCCTCAAAAACGGTTTTACAAAACAACAAAATAGATTTAATGTTTGATTTACTACTTTTAAGTACCCAGACAATTTTCACGTAACATTAAATGTTTATAGATTGCTATTAACTAGGTATATAATAGGTACTATAATGTTCGAATTTCGATTTGGATACATCATCATTAACCAGAATATCATCCAGCTTCAAAACCTATGGTAAAATAAGGTGATCCTCAGATCCTCATTTGAAAAAATAATTTGTATCGACATAGTATAGTACTATAATATAATACTATCGACCATAGGTATAGTGTCTCCTCAACTGGTGTAAAAAATCTAAGTATTTGAAAATATAGTCCTTAAGTACACTAAAAAAAAAAAAAATAAAATATCGGAACTGGAATTAATTTATTATTAAATCAAAGAATGGGGGAGGGGGTGAGCATGCTTGGTGAATCGCTCTGTATACACAATATACGTATTTTAGCCATATATATGATATATATATGCAGTATTCACATACCTACATGCACAATATATATATATTATAATTTGTTATTATTTATTACGGTGTTGTTGTTTTTTTTATGAATTTATACGTAACTATACATACCTATTATATACTTGTTAGATGGCTGAGCATCCCGTGGGAGAAATATTCTGTGGCTCTACATCTTACGCGATTATTATTGCCGCAGTTGGTGTATTGTGTTTGACGCGTCTCTGCGGATAGACGGAGAGAGATATGGGAACGGGTGCCCCCCTTTTCGAGTATCGGGTCGATTTCAATACGATATTTTGTACCGAAAAAAATTCTGCGTCGTTTCGAAAGTCGCGCTGCGGCGGCGGTGGATGCCCCGAAATGCGAGAAGACAACGATGAATATTATACTCTTCTTCCTATAATATAATTTTATACTTATATAGTCACCGACAAACAATATATACTACAATGGCTACACGTTATTACAAAACGCGTTTAGACCGCGCGATAGGTATACACATACCTGAGTGTAGCGAGAACGGTTTCCCCGCACAATAATATGCGATAATATTATTCATCGTTTATTACATTATGCATAGTATATAAGCCCAATATAAAATATACACACGTTGTCCGTAAAGAAAAAAACATTAAAAATTAAACATAAATACCTATATTTGTGAACAATATAATAAAACAAAATAAAAATTCTATATTTGTGAGTACCTATATAAGAGGTCCTCCTTTTATATGACCGCTCGTCTTCCTGATTTTACAATTTCATAATGCCATACAGTGGTTTAATAATATTGGGTATACTTATATGGGTTGATCTGCAGTAAGGAATGGGGTTCATGGAGCATATATATATACTGCAGTATATACTCGTATATGTACTGAGTGTTATGATGAGTACCTATAACGTAAAGGGATTTTGAAACTATAACGTCGTGAAGGGACTTTGTAATCAATAATTGGTGAGAGAAGAGAAAGAGAATCATTTTTACAGAATATAATTGTACATAATGAGATATCATTATGATACAAAATTTTATGGGAACAACGACGGTCATATGTCATGATGGCTGGGTCAACCGAAGAGGACAAATTAAGTTTACTAACCACTGGGTCAATGGAATAAATTAGTGAAGAGGATAAATAATGTTTTTGGTTTTACTGTCACTGCAATAATATGCATTTATGATTAGGGGGACTATTGGTGACTCGTCTGAGTTACTGGAATTCAAATTTGCCCCCGTAATATTAAATTCAATGAATATCTTGTAAATAGTTTTTTCGGGACGCAAGTAACATGCAACCTATATTATATAACCTATCCTAACCTTCTGCAGTGCACTACAGGTGCGTCGCTGCGCAGAGACCTTCGCGGACATTGCGGCGAATGAAACGAGAAAATAAATAACCGTCACTATGTTCTGTAATACAAGAATATATAATAATAATAATAATAATAATATAATTATTATGGAGTTCAGCAATCGGGAGTGAGGCCGACTGTTTTCTTCACACGAACCGAATTATAATCACGAACTCGGGTGCGCGTGGCTGGGAAAAAATTAAGAAAAAAAAATTGTGAACCAAATACGTATAATACTGCAGCCGTATTGCACTATTGCATCGAGCGACTAATGCTGAGTCGCTGGCGGCTGATTACCGTGCATATTATACCTACGATATTTAATAATAATAAATTGTGATCGACGAGCACTGATTCTGCAGTGGCGAGGACTTTAGGTCGGGCACAATCCATTGTAACGTCACTCTGGGATTTTATTGATGCCACCACATGACTTACCCCCATCGGTTAAATCGATCGTTCGATTCCGCTGCAGATTTCACTTGAAGTTACTGTTTTTCGTGTCGAAAAAATTGAAAAATAGCCGAACCAGAGGGGCACGGGGAAAATATAATAAGCTACCCGAACAAAAATTATAAATTTGAATTTCATTTGACGGTTTTGAAATTAGCGTAAATAGTATATTGTTAATAATGTAACATACGGTTTTATTATAATATTACACAGCTCAAGTTTTTAAATCGATTCAAAAGATAACCGAGTGTGATCATTTCGAAGTCCTTCAAAAATTACAATCCGGGTGAGTCTCTGTTGCGGTTCGGACCTTGGCCGAGCTTTCGCAGTGTTCTGTGATATATTATATTATCATACCTCGCTGTGCTGTAATGTCGTATAATATTATTATGGTCGCTTCGCATAGAAGTAGGGCGTAGTAGGTATCTGGAATATCGTATATCATAGATACATACGTCGCCATTGCTATACAGTCGTGTGGTAGGTATACGGAACGGAAATAATAATTGGGGAAACTTTGGTGAAATATAAACTTAAACCTTAATGATACCGCCGCCGCCTCATAGACGAGTGAACAACAATATCTTGTGCGGTGATCAACGACACGTAACGACAATAATTATAAACGAGCATGTTCGGTGCGTTTTCACACTTTCGCTGTCTGTTTTCGGTACCACACACACTTGCGATTGAGCGATCCCGAGAACGTGAGATGATTATTATTATTATTACTATTTAATTGTTGAATAAAAATCGTACACACCGTCCTTTAAGCGCGACAAAAACGTGACCTTTTCCTCGGGTGTGCTCGTGCCACATTACTTTATACAATATATAATATATATATATATATATATATTATATACTCGTCGCGACACTGTATAATACGTCTTAAACGCACAGGCGGCGGCGGATCGCGCGGTCTTGGAGAATAATAATTGCCATGCCCGTGTAAATGACGCCCGTACCTGTATAGACAGTGCGCCTACATGAAGGAACGTTGTGCAGTGTTCTCGCGTAATTATTATACACACGATTCGACGAGGATCTATATAGATCTATATATTATTATTATTATTATTATTATCTACAGTGCATATTATAATGGGCCTTGGACTCGTTAATACCGTGTATTTATACCCGGCCGATATATTGTCGTATACGCACTTGGGTACAATCGACGCGATTGTCGACCGTTCGGCGTGTATCAAAATGTAATAGCGAATAATATCGATCGGCTTTGTAGGCACGTACGTGGAGTGTAGGAAAATCAAACACACGACGTTTCTCGGAGATTATAATATGTATGCGCGAGAGATCCGATCGACCTGTGCGCGGTCTGTGCTGAGATCGCTTTTACGCCTGTTCCCCCGCCTCCGACAAGGCGCGCATTAAATATATATACATTATATATTATATTATGTATATAGATATTAGATATAGGCGCGTGTGTCGAAAAATAAACGCCCATTACATTATATTATTATTACGATACTATTGTTAATCCCACGCACAAATGCGAGTATTTACGCAATATATATAAACCTAACCGTTTGTCGATCGAGAAAGTACATATTATTATTAAATTATTGTTGTTGCTGTTGTTGTTAACATAATATTGTATTATATTCTGTCACTAACCGGTACGATTCGTCTTGTGTTACAGTTGTCCGTCGTTAGCAGTGCCCAACGACATGATATCCAGGCGCCGAATACTGTCCAGGTCCAGAGACGACCTGAACTTGGACTCGGGAGTAGGATTTCCCGTCCAGGTTGAAGAAGAAGAAGACGTGTGGTACAACAAGGACAAGCTGTACAAGGTGCGTTTATCATATTGTTTTCGTTCAACTTATCACCTGCATGTGTATATTAAACGATTTTGAGCCTCATATAAGTATAGTCGTAATCGGATGACTTTTTAATATAATAATAATATAGCAGATGATGTCCCCCCGCCGACCTTGTGACAACCGACTCCGCCATCGCTCACGTAGAAATATGTTTCGCTTTTTAAAATCGAATCATCGTTTTTATTATCACTATTAGGTGTACTAATATTTCCCGCCGCCCTCCTTTCACTTTTCGCGTCGTTCGCGCCCGTCTCCGACAGATTCGACGTCGTGTATAGTATAATATGAATATGATGCACGCACATCGTTTACACGTGAAACGCGAGCGACGACGCAATAACGCGATATAAATATATAATAATAGCTGGGTACTATTTATCGACGAGATTCGTTCCGCGAGCGCCCCTCGCGCGTAGGAGGACGTGCTGACGACGACCTTGTCCGGTCGAATCCATCGAAAACGACCGTTTTATTCAAATTTCCTGACCTGGAAACGTTAAAGTCTCCCGGTGGCGTCCCGCGTAGTTCATATTTGTATACCTAGTATTTAGGAGTTAAAGTGAAACAAATAAGGTATGTGTATAAACTAATATTGTTCTTGGAACGCGTTGATTCGTTATTATCGATTTATTCACAATATGTATTAGATCGTACTTATTTAGAGGATCCATAACGGTCTGCACACCAGCCCCACTGGTAGGATTCTTGTTGTCACGACGGCCTGTAATAACGATTATTGATTATGCTCCGTTTAGTTTTCCAGCTTTGCAGGAATTTTCAAATATGTCTACCTACTATAAAATTATATTTAAGAGTATATTTTAAAAACATTGAGGAGTTCATAAGACTCTCCTCCACTATAGTTGTACACACTTTTATCTAACTATAGTCAACGTATACGGGCAGGTAAATATTTTACATATTTTTTAAAGTTTGAAACCATGTATTACGATATTTATGGGGGAGTCAGAATTTTAGGGGCGTACGAGCACATTTTCCGCGTATCCCACGCATATACCTCGCGGTGTTTTCCGCATACACGTCACCGACTAGGTGATATGTCAGTTGTAATCAACAGTTTAGTTTAAAAACGCCCATTCGCGACCCGCGGGCACCTTCCACATCGTAGTTTGCTGGATGTCCTTGTGAGGCGACGTTCAATGTGGTCGACCGAGATTTCAAAAAAAAATAGGAACTCATTTTTCAAACCGACCGTTGCGGAACGGTGTAAGAGCTCACCACACCCGCATGTTGTGCTGTCTCTGTCTTACGAATGCGTAAATGTACGTTTAGTGAAATCAATTTTATGTTGTTGACTTAAATAATACAGTAAATTGGCTTATTATCATACATAAAGTTAATGACATAATCTAAGGAACCTCTTAGGCGTTTATTGGTATTTTAATGTTAAAGTAAGTTATATAGGTAAACTAGAATAAAATCTCATTACAAGCTTTAAAATTTAAATATTATTAAAAGCTTACGAGACGCTCCCGAGGTATTTTTACCTTAATATTAAATCAATTCACTCTAATATCAAATATAATAACACAAAATTGGTTTTGCTGAACTCAAATTTGCTACCTTGACGCGTTTGCAAGACGGAAAAGGCATGCATGGATATGCGTGAGATGTTTATGACGTACCCTCCGAATACGTTTTTACACAACACAATTAGTACATTTGCTACATTATATTACTTGTTTACTTCATTAGTATATATTGCCATGGCACTTCACAATAATAATTGTTTTCGCACTGCCGTTTGCTATACGGGGTCAACGTGCGTCTCGGAGTTTGCATTACAACTTTCGAGTTCAATGGTCATCACCATCATCGAATAATCCTCGTGACACTTAAAAAAAAATCAACATTCTTCATATAATTAAATTATTAAAACTCCGCGCGTTCACTCTTCATTTCGTCGCCGATAAATAACAAACACAAACACGCCGGATTTCTCTTATATCATTATTATATACCTATAGGTATATACATGAACGAACGCGCTCGTTTGTTTTTCAATCGAAACGACGTCGTCGTCCCGAATAATTACGTTTTAATAACAACACAAAGTGCATATAAACATATATATGCATGCTGTCAACTGGTGGGCAATAAACTCACGTAGACTGCTGATGGAGATGAGTTTTTAAGGCGGTATTCTTTTCGCCAAACGCGATCGTTATAATAAATAATAATAATATAACAACGACGGATACAATATACGGTCATGGTTTGTCGAACGACGTTAATCGCGTTGTTTGTATATCGTATCGATTGTGGTTGTCAAAAAATAAAAAATAAAAATAGTTGGTAGCTACAAGCAGAAAAAAAATTCGATTTTAGATGTAGGTATTGCCTGCCTGTATTGACCGTTTCGTTTGTATACCTAGCTAACCTACCTACATATTATTCACTACATATAAGCGTCTATATTTTGAAATATGTTGTTTTCTAGTACCTATACCTACCCATCATACTTCTCGATGGTTTAGTTTTTTAATAACCGGTGCAGGCATTCGACTGCAGGCGGATGTTGTTATTGTATATCGGGCAGCAGGTGTTAAGATTGAGACGTTCTTTTATTTGAGACTTAACCATATATTATTATTATACAAGAGTAATTTTAACTTTCAAGCATCCTAGCTATAATAGGCTTCCTCTATACATAATCGTTTCAAATATAAAAAACAAGTCCTCCTCCCGTAAACTATTTAACTATACCTACAGGTACTCACATCCCGCGCGCCGACCCTCCCCACGGGCCACGACCATCAAACACTTTACGCTAAATATACGTGCCCATCGACAGCTGTCTTGATATAATATATAATATTGTTATAATAACTATGGCATGTTGTTGGTATTATAGAATATGTATACAGGTAAATCTAATAATAATAACTCATCGAACTTCTGCAGTATAAATGTAGAACATAATAATCGTCGTAACGTTTATTGAAAAATGTATATTCACGGCGCGGCGTATCTATTTAATATAGTCATCGTGTAAACGGTTTATCTGCATAATAATACGGCAGTCTAAGTATGATATATATAAATATCACATTATAATATTTCTATGATATAACGCAAACTCGGTTTATGAATTTTTTCCGCTTATTGCCCTGCCTGAAATATATCTATGTAGCATATATTAACTGCAGTATGGGTACTGTGTATATTATTATGTGCGTACGGTTTTCTTTCATAAAACCGTTTAGAATAATAATGAAAATAAGAGAAAAAAAAACACCGTACGCCGCCACCGATGTTCGTCAATAATGTATACGCTTATATACCATTGTTCTCGGTACAACAATAAATATATTATTGTCTCCACGACGACCACGGTGAACTCGACGTATATGGAGCTTTGGTATATTATTATTATTGTGCGTATAGTATACCTACTTATATATTATTATTGTGTACCGGCGGGGTTTTGACATGAAAAACTCGTATCTACGTGTATGTGGGTACGAGCGTGCGTGCGCGCGCGAGAGCGAATTTTATTTCCGACGTCGTAGACGTCTCCGCTATAGTTGTTCCGGTCCGGAAGGACGCGAGCGCGCGCCTCAAACGAACGGACGCCGCGTCACCAGTGGGAGGGAGGGGGGTTCGGAGCGATCCGCTGGAGAGGGTAGGGAATCTCGTACGGGCGGCAGCAGCCGGACCACCGACCTTGGCTCGGCGGAGGCCGAGGAAACGCGCTCGGCGGGTGAAAGTACTTTCACCACCGCGATGTTACGCCGATCCGCACAATTAACCACCGCGCCATGCTCTCTAGAACGTTCTAACGAGAGTGTATGCGGCTCACACATCGCACACGCACACACACACACACACGTACACACACACACACACACTCACGCAAGTACGCCTGCCGAGGATTGCACTGGAGACCGATTTGAACGCATTTCGCTGGACCTCGTCTCGTCCGTCGTCGCCTAGACTTTATTTCGAGTACACCCCCCCCTCGTTTCATGTGGTGCGCAGTTTTTTGAGAAATTCCGATTCAATCCCATTGCCACGCACCGCACCACCGCAGCCGCCCCGAGGGTTTGCTCCTGAAATCCACCCGCGAGTTTATTATGACGCGTACGCAATAATATGGAGCGAGGTCTCGTCCGGCACGACATTCCGCGCGATTGTTTTCATTTCTTTATGTGTACGAACGAGAGTACCTATTATAATGTCGACATAAATCCTTCGACATTTTTTCCGCCCGCACGTTTAACCCGCGGGTACTTTCACGTTTTCCGCCGACGCCACCGCGAGCAGTTTTTTTAACGACTTTTTTCCCCCTTGTATAACCGTCTATTTTACGATTTTTGGGTGCAATATCGGGTCTGCGCTGTAGTAATGATAAAATATAAAAGAAATAAAAATACATAACGTTCAGTATGTATTGCCACGACGTATTAACAAACAAAAATTTCACATGGAAGACGCGATCATCGCGGCGGCGGCGGTTACGGTTTTGATTATCGAGCATGTTGCGAAACGCCGGCAATGTCAGGGGTGTCGAAAAACGTATCACGTAAACACTCAAGATCGCGATGTTGTATACTAAGTATTATGGTTTTGTTATTGTTTTATTGTATATAATATCCTTTGCACGCGCACCGGCCTTGAGGAAGAGGTGCAACGGAGGCGGCAATAATAAAAATAATCTCTTAAGGTCGCCGACGCCGTGTACCGTAATAATAATATTGTTATTATCATTGTTATCTCGCGCATAAAACACAATTATATTATAAGACCGGTGCTTATAGATAATGTTATACAGGCAGAATCGTGGAAACCCGATACACGCACACGCACACGTATAGTATACGTTATTTTCGTCCGAATAAAATTAAAAGAAAATGTAAAAACAATAACGAAAACGAAAACTCTTTGGCCAAACATCGCATATATAGGTAGGGGGCACATGGCGCGCATATAGACGTGTAATGTGTACA